TGGGCGAGCAGCTGCATCCAAGCCATACATCACCAAGTGCAATGCAAAGCGTCGGATGCGGTGGTGTAAAGCACGCCGCCACTGGACTCTAGAGCAGTGGAGACGCGTTCTCTGGAGTGACGAATCGCGCTTCTCCATCTGGCAATCTGATGGACGGGTCTGGGTTTGGCGGTTGCCAGGAGAACGGTACTTGTCTGACTGCATTGTGCCAAGTGTAAAGTTTGGTGGAGGGGGGATTATGGTGTGGGGTTGTTTTTCAGGAGCTGGGCTTGGCCCCTTAGTTCCAGTGAAAGGAACTCTGAATGCTTCAGCATACCAAGACATTTTGGACAATTCCATGCTCCCAACTTTGTGGGAACAGTTTGGAGCTGGCCCCTTCCTCTTCCAACATGACTGTGCACCAGTGCACAAAGCAAGGTCCATAAAGACATAGATGACAGAGTCTGGTGTGGATGAACTTGACTGGCCTGCACAGAGTCCTGACCTCAACCCGATAGAACACCTTTGGGATGAATTAGAGCGGAGACTGAGAGCCAGGCCTTCTCGTCCAACATCAGTGTGCGACCTCACAAATGCGCTTCTGGAAGAATGGTCAAAAATTCCCATAAACACACTCCTAAACCTTGTGGACAGCCTTCCCAGAAGAGTTGAAGCTGTTCTAGCTGCAAAGGGTGGACCGACGTCATATTGAACCCTATGGATTAGGAACGGGATGTCACTTAAGCTCATATGTGAGTCAAGGCAGGTGAGCAAATACTTTTGGCAATATAGTGTATATATATATATATATATATATATATATATATATATATATATATATATATATATATATATACATCTGACACGCGTGTCCCATTTGGGGTCGTGAGAGGTGCTGGTGCCTATCTCCAGCTGTCTACGGGCGAGAGGCAGGGTACACCTTGGCCAGTCCATCGCAGGGCAACACAGAGACACACAGGACATACAACCATTCACTCACACACTCACCGCTAAGGAGAATCTAGAGAAGCCAATTAACCTAACATTCATGTTTTTGGACTGTGGGAGAAAGCTTGAGTACCAGGAGAGAACCCACGCATGCTCAGGGAGAACATGCAAACTCCATGCTGAAAGTATATATATATATATATATATATATATATATATATATATATATATATATATATATATATATATATATATATATATATATATATACTTAACACTTTGAGACAGTCTCTGAAATCAGGTGTTTTCTGAAAGATTCAGAAAATATTCAGCTAGCCTTCCACACCTGTTGACAGGTACAGTGTGTTGGTTCGCTGTTCATGAGCACTTTAAGTTGGGACAGTTTTTTTTTTTTTTTGCATTATTTTTTTAAATTGAAATAAAAAAAATCTATATTTTACAAAGTTATTATAAAAGAAAAAAAAATTATTGTTATTTTTTCAGTTTTGTGCGAGTTAGCCCTGCAGATAACCCTGATCTCACTATTCTCACAATAAAACATGGTAGTGGCATAATCATGCCTTAAGAGTCATTTACCATAGACAAGGAAATTGGTTAGACGAGAGAAAGATGGATAAAGCTAAAAGCAGGAAAATCTGAGAAATACTTGAAAAACTCTTACAAGCTGCAAAACACTTGAGACTGAAGAAAAGGTTCTATAAAGCATTGACTGATAACACATATACAGACTACAATTTTCAGTGTGTTTTGTGTGTCATTTTGCTGCAGGCTCACTAAAGCTGGGATGACATGATTTCATGCTCGATTGTATCCCTGATTCACAGATGGAAAAAGTCTGTGTCAGTCTGCTCTTGTGATCAGGGACTTGGTGCAAAAATCTGCTTGTGTCAGAGGGAAACTGTTGCAACCAGACCCGAACCAACCTCAGTCACTGTTCAGCAAATGTTCATTTACATCAGATCTGGACAGAGTTAGGTAACTGATTACCAGTCCAACCACCAACCCTGATTGCAGAAAGGCAGGAATAAAACAAAAGCTTTGGCACCTTCCTTTTTTGAAATGTTTTGGTTTGACTTCTTTAGTAGCTACACGACATTATAAATGCAAAATAACACTGTACAAAAAAAAATACAGTCCAATTAATTACAATAAGCTTCAATAAAAAAGGATAATAGAGAGACTCTCAGATATTTAAGACTCAAACACAATGTAAAGATCTTGTTGAAAATAGGCAAAAGTTCACATATTAAATATAAAGGTAATGGGACTTTATTTAATGAGCTAAGATTTTTAAGAGAAATGCTGTCAATAGAAAGAAAACTATTTATCATTCATCCATAAAATGTATTTGCAAAATTCTACTAAAACATGATATTGTTATCTGTTAAGAAATACTAACATTTTCAATTACTTTTAGTTCAATAGCCTCACTTTGTATGGGTTATAGTAATTCTCTTGTTTTTAAGCTACAGTATGTTCTAAAAGTGCTGCCTTACCTTCACTAATTGTAGAATGGTTTTCCAATAATAATTCATTTCTCTGTGTTTAGTTTCTTGGTTCATTTTTGTATTATTTTTATGTATTCAGATTTGGTTATTTATGCTTTGTTAGTCCTTTCCATCCATGCATTTTTTCCTGCTTAGTCCTCGTCAGGGTCGCGGTGCCTATCTCCGGCACTCTACGGTCGAGAGGCAGGATACATCCTGGACAAGTTGCCAGTCTGTCGCAGGGCTTGTTAGTCTTTTAACTGTGATTAATTAGTCTCACTCCCTCAGTCTCCCCTGTTTCTCTTCTACGTCTTTCCTCTACTTCTAAATTATGTATTCATATTCAATTATGTTATTCAGTGTTTGGTCTAAAGGTCCAGAACAAGACCTTTAGACCAAAACAAGGTCAAGAAAAAAACAAGACCATATTTTTTGACACCATAACAGCGGTGGTAAAGGTATTGTTTTAGTCCAGACCCAGCCAACCAAGACCAAGGAGTACAGAGACAAGCCCAAGACATTAAGAGGCAGAGAACAAGACCATTTAAGGCCTTGTCTTGGTCTCAGAACTCTTTGGTCTTGGTTGGTATTGTCTTGACTATAGTTTTCCTTCTGTTGCCCAGTTTACACCTTATTTCCTGTTCTTTATTCCTGTATCTTTTGTACACTTTTTATGTTATTTTTAAACCATTCTGCATGCTTATCTCAGGACAAATCTATCTGCATTTTGGTCCAAGATCAAATCAACACAGCATAACATAAACTCACAATGTTTTACATATTTTCAGTTGGATTGCATAAAGTATTAGGGATATTACGGAAGTATAACCCATCTGAATTTTGAAAATGTTTTCAATTTCTTCCATTGTCATGATCTTGGCACCATAGGCTGGGTTTTACTCTTCCTCCTCTCATCTGGTTTGTTCCACCCCAGCCTAATTATCTCTTATCTGAATCACTTGTTTCTTCTGCTATTTATTCCACCGGTTCCAACCCCTTGGTGTCAGATTAATTGAGCGTTTCGGTGTGAATAGCTCTAGCTCTCTGATCTTTGTTCTGATTATCTGATTGTGACCTGTTTCTGCTCTGTGGATTCTGAGTTTTACTAACCCCTGTCTGCTCTGTTCTTCTGCTCTGTTCTGGACTGACTCCTGGATTCCTGCTAGCTTACCGAACCTGGACTGTGCTTCTGACCTCGGCTTGGATTCTCCTTCTGTACCTCATCGGCTCTTTGATCTTCTGGTCCATGTACTTGGCTCTTCTACAACTTCGGCTTTGGATATTCCCTTCTGGACACTGTTGCTCCTCGGCGCGGCGCCCGACACAAGCGGAGGACTGTCTCCTTCTCGGATTCATCACATCCCTCTGTGATCGGCCTGAACTCTTCACCAGGTCAGTGACTATTGCTTTAGTAGTCATCAGCCCTTTATTCTTATTCACGGACCTGAGTTTCTTTTTCTACAGAAAATCTGGTTTATCCTCCCCTGCTGACGAGCAGCTGCACGCCGTTAGTAAATAAAGCCTTTTGAACTCATTCAGATCTGTCTGTTTTGAATATTGGATCCAAGGTTTCGAGCCTCTGACAGCCATTTAATTGTACCTTTTTTTTTTTTGTTCTTAACTGTTGAATTTAAGAACAAAAGAGTTTCAGTTGTCAAACCTTTTTTTTGTAATTACATATATGTGAGAAACCTTTCTGTTGGAGGACTCTGAGTTAGAGCCAAAACCTAACCCATATCTAGGTTCAATATTTCCCTTACGTATAATCCAAGGCGGGTTGGTGCGCCAATGAGACCAACTGCCCCAAACCAAGATTAGGGCATGTAGTGTTTACAGTTAATGTCATTGAATTCATTACCCTCTTTAAGTAACCTTGGATCACAGTGTGAGAAGCGCTTATATACAGGTGAACACCTTCACTACAGCCAGCAGACAGAGGGCGCAACCTTTGGAGGCTGGGAGAAGTGACCGTAGGGATGTTCAGAAGATTTCTGAACAAGATCAGATTTTTTTTTTTTTTTGTTTTTTTTTATTCTGCAGTCCATAAAACACAGCAGTGTTGCTGGGGTCAGCAGTGAAGCTGAACCCATGGCTGCAGGTGGATCAGTACAACAGACTGGGTCAACCTGATAGTTTGCATATTAAGGGGAGGGTGGAGCAGAGAAGATTAATAAATAATAATTTTGAAATTTTTCTCTTTAACAAGCTTTAACCAGTGTTCAACTCAAGACCACACCAACCTAGTCCAAGGAGTAGAGAGACCATATATGGTTTTGGTCTCGGCCTCTACATGTATGGTCTCGTTTAGTGTGGTCTTTACTACAACACTACCTTTACAACCACCATTATGGTGTCAGAAAAAAATACAAGTAAGAACTAACGCTGTTATTGTGAAGTAATTCTTTTCAAAATATGCTACAACTATCTTAGTTGTGTTTGTCTTTTTCTGTAACATCCCAAAAGGATAAGCCTGCTGGAGTTAGTGGTTTGGAATACTTCTTAAAGGCAAAAGAGACAGAATTAAAAACAAAGAGTGAAAATACAATTAAATAAAACAAATTTTACCTGTCTTTGAGTAGAACATGATCTCATCTTTAAACTCCTTGCGCTCTTCCAAGGCCTCGTCAATGCTCAGGATGATGCTTTCACTGGTCTCAGGCCCATACAGAAACTTACAGGCACAGCTCTTTTGCATGACCTCTGTCCGAGAAAAGCCTGTGAGTTCACAGAAGCCATCAGAGCAGTAGACAATGGGAAAGCCCTTTGACATCTGAGCATTGGCCAGGATGAAGTTACTGTCTATAAAAAAGAAAAACAGAAGAGCATTGAAAGTGAATGACATTCAAAACATAAAAAAAAGATTTGGACAGAATATTTCCAAGAAATATCCGTGGACTTAATTTAATTATAGCCTCATTCTGAAAGCCATTAGAATAAAAAAAAAAAACATGTTTTGACTAAAACTAAATTAATAAAGGAATATTACTGAACAAATCTTTGTTTATTAAAGCCCAGTATTTATCTTTAACATATATACATTTACAAAAAAATAATCAGTAGTAACCATAATGCCTAAATGATAGAACCATACATGTAGGCAAGTTTATTTTTTAGCCCACAACACATTTCAGAAGATAGACAATTCAAAATGCTTTACATTAATAGAACATCAGAGAAGAAAAACATAGGATAAATTACATTGCATTGGCATAAGAGACAGGTTAGAAAAAAGTTGGACAACAAAATCATCTCTTAATCTTTCAGTTTGATAAACATTCATTTTAGTGCTTTTATGAGAGTTAGTTTAAGATAAGAGGAGCATAAGAAATAAACACTGGTTCTCCATGTTTGTTTCTGAGTTTGGATATGCAGAGTAGATTTAAACCAGGTTTGGGTGTTTGATTCACCGACAGCTGACAACAAGTCTGTAATGCTTTTTGGTGCTTAGCCTCCCTGTGATTTATAGATCAACAGAAGTATTTTGAATTCTACTCTTTGAGATATACAGAGCCAGTGTAAGGACTGGGAGCAGGATGAGGGCAGCAAAATTCTGCATCAACTGCAGCGGTTGGACCGATTTTTTTGAAGCTGCAGTGATCAATCAACAAAAGATAGGTCAGTCAAAAAAAAAAAATACTACAACAAGATTAGTCTTTAGTCCTAAAAATTTTCTTTTGTTGACATAAGCCCAACTTTGTGACTGTCTTCCTGTAAACTCTAAAGATTCACCTCTATGCCTACCACCTCAGACTTTGGGTCTGGTTGATGGTTTCTAGCTGAACTAACTAAAGCAGTAAGGAAACTTTTAATGAATCCTTATTTGGTCCAAAAACCTTTACTTTTTAAGGGAAAGTAATTTTTAGGTTACAATGGTGACACTGTAATGTACTATATTTGTTTGTGATTTGCATAGTAATGGTAACTCCTTTATTGTTGTTTGTTGTTATCCTAGCCAGAGTGAACATATAGCCATTGAATAGCAGGGGCCCAAAGACAAATCCTTGGGAACCCTGCATATGATTTTCGTGCTTACCATTGTAATGTTATCTAATCACACAACAATGTCGCTGTCCTTCCAGAAGGGTTCAAATAAGTGAAACATAGTACCAGAGAACATTCTGACCAGCCCCTATTATCATCAATGATCCCTCACACCCCTACCATGGACTGTTCTCCCTGCTGCCCTCTGGAAAGAGGCTTTGCAGCATCCGCTGCAGGTCCAGTAGGTTCTGCAGCAGCTTTTTCTACTTTGCCATCAGACTGTTGAACTGTTTAACTCTAAACAGGACTCTGCATCACCCATGTAACTTTATTGTACACCACCAACATGGCTGAAACTTTTGTGTTCCTTTTAAAGAGGACACAACACAATGTTCTACTGTATTTTGCACGATATTTATTATGCACTGCAATAAACCTCTCCATAATAATGCTCTTTTGCGCCATTATTTTTTCAAAAATAGTTTTACTTTTCTCCTACACTGTTCATATGATTATCGCTGTTGCACTTTAAAATGGTAAATGCTAATTTCACTGTTGTAAGCTGTACAAATGTAGGCTTGGTACTGGAGCATGAAAACCGGACTGTAAGCGACAAAAGGTGCTGATTATGGTCAGGAAGAAATTTCACTGTTAAAACACCACTTTTCCAATATGCTTACTGATAAAGCCAAAGTTTAGATTGTCCTTTAGCTCTGCTTGCCCAAATAGTTCCTTTGCAGTAACTATTTTCTAATTAGTTAATTTGTTACTAAGCAAACTGTTATGACTATTATTGGGAGTTCCTCTCAGAGTCCACATCTATTCTTAATGATTTGAAGCTAACCCTATTGTGATAAAAGAAGTATACCCTATACAAGGATTTTATTCATCTTTAATATAAAAACCTAGTCAGATTTCGCCGATATCACTTATCTGAAAAAAAAAAAAAAATACATGAATCAAGCCCTAGTATCTAGTCTATTTTTTTTAAACCATGACTGTAGGATTTTGTGCCCAACAGTGATGGTCCTATAAGACTAAAGAGAGGCTTTAATCATTGGAACTGGAAATTGATAAAGCTCTATACAGCCCTATTAAGCTGCAATTCTAGCACTTGTGTTAACCTTATTTAGTCAAGTAAGAGTTGTATTTGGGCTCTTTGAAAGGTTCATGAATGATTTTTTTTTTTTTGATTAATGACTAAGGATAAATAAAAAAAACTATTTGTCAGTTAAATCTTAACTACCTGGAGATTAACATGCTTTAACATCACAGTTCCAATCCCAGCATGACCACCTTTTAAAAACTTCAAAAATGGAAACAAATGCAATCGGTTAAGTAGCGCCTCGAGCTCTTTCAACAAGTTGCTCTCGGTGGACGCTGGAAAGATGGTGTGACTTTTAACTCAGCGATACACAGCATGATGGGATCTTCAGCTCAAGCAGATGAAGGCCCGTGTGGGTTGAATGAATAGAGGGAATGTGCTTTGGTCAGCTTTGATTTATCTGCCCACTGAAGAGCAACAGAGCTCAACACTTCATGCTTCCTTTCACAAAGAAAACCAACCCAATACTTGAAAAATGTTTAAACTAATTTGCATTTATAATATAAGTATCTTTTATGTATAAAAACTTTGGTTCAGGGTGAAGAGGATGACTGCAGTGGATCTAAACTGACAAGAGGAAAAGACAAAAATTCTTATGAAGGCTGACGTATATCACAGTTAATTAGCCAATTGAGTCTCGGTTTGGATAGCCAGTGAAAGCTAAGCAGCTGTTTATACCTGAGTTTATCTATGATGGGAAACAGACGCGCTATACTAACAGACACTCACAGGGCCACAATGCTGAGCTGTGCTGATAGAAAGCTAATGCTTCCAGCACAATACTTATTACACAAGACAGTAGACAATGAAGGTTTGACAGACTGTGTGAAATATGTGCTTGTGGATTTGAGTGTGTCCTGCTGCCATTTGATAAGCAGCCAAACAGCGAACCCTGGCCAATAAATTAAACAAGTACACTAGAGCATTTGACATAGTAACTGCAGAACACACATACATTTTATACATTCGTATAATTACAGTGAGTGTATGAGTCATGATCACATTATAGGCCTTCCAACACACACAAACACAGCGGTATGAGACATCCAGCAAGATCACTTGTTTCAATTATACTACATTACATTGCAAAAATCTATTTTCTACATCAGTAACTCCTTTTTTTAGCAACTTGGTTGTTTGAAATGTTTCATGTTGTATGGCAGGGTTTGGAAATGCAAAATCGATGATTTAAAAAGCAAAGATCCAGTATCCATTCCTTGCAATGAATAGCTATGCTTATTTTCTTGATCTTCATCCTTCTCAGCTATTTAATGCAACTAACAAAAAGAACTCTTGTGTAATTATATTATATGAAGCTAATACGATTTTGAGATACATTAAGCTGACACAGTAACTGTATCCATCCAAGACAAAAAGACACCACAAAATATGTCATGTAAGCAGTGATGCTTTGACAGGACGACCCAGCCAAGAGCAGGTCTCAGTATAGGGATTGGCTGTCAGGGGCCTCTGAGGCTCGGGTTACAGACAGAAAGAGACTGATGCTGTTACTGGAGCCACGATGGTCCCAAACAAAAGCTTAAAGCTTGTCCTGTACCAACTCCCAGGGTAGGGGAGGGCTGTCAACAAAGACATACAATTAGTACAGTGTTTATATATTAGAGGGTACTCAGATATGTATAATATGGTTCTCCTCTTCAACAAAGGTGACTCAGAGTTAAACAACTAGACTTATTTACATGCCGATCTTTTTACTTTAGAAAATATACTCAAGCAATTACCTAATAAATGTGATTTCCATATGCAAAAATATGATAATTTATCCTTTTCTGTTTTGTGGATGAAGGTCATATATCATGCTTTAGCATCTTGAAGTCAACCATAGGCATATATATGATTGTATATTGTCTTTGGCACTATGGAGTATTTATTTGTTATGAAATTAGTTGTTCTCTAACAACTTAAAAGAAAAAAACTTGAATTTGATTAAACTAACGTAGACATAATTAAAACAGATAATTATCTAAGTATAGATGTTTTTAATTTCCCATTAATAAGTGTTGTGCCATAAAACCATGATAATGCTCATTGGAATGAGGATGCAATTTTGCTCTGCAACCCCTCCACCAGCCTAAGACAGTATCACAAGACACAGAGGTGTGCCTTTGCCCCCCACAGTGCTTTTGAGGACGTGTCTGCTTCTTCCTCTTTGGGGAATAGACTCTGGGTAGTTCACATTGGAGAGACACAATCATGGCTCCATGTCGAAGGACCAGAGGCCCAAAACTGACCGAAGGCTAAGTGGACCTGATGGCTTACATCAGAAGCAAATTGCTGTGAAATAGACTGTTTGCAGCTTTTCTCTCTGTGTTTCAGGGCTTCCAGATGCCTGGGAGAGGCTGGAGATGTGAAGGTCCTGAGTATAAAAGAACCTCCCTGGTGCAAAACTGTCATGCTAAGCTGCTAATACTGGATATTTGAAAAAAAAAAGAAAAAAAGAAAACAAGCATCCCAAATTGAAATCAACAGAGGTTTACAGGTCTGGTACACAAGCCAGAGACAATTTCTAGGTTTTTCTAGCTCAAGTATGACCAAAAGTCATTTAATTACTCATGTTTGCTAGCTACTACCTCAATCAGAGAAGGATAAGTATCAATCTACGAAAGGTCATTTAATAAAACATTTTCTAATAAGTGCTTATTTTACTTCCTTGGATTTTTTATTGGTTTGAACACATTCTATATTTACCCAA